ATTTCAACTTCTAATTAGATGTTCAATTGCTCACAGTCCAAGATTGATCAATGGTAGGAAGCAAAACCAGAATTATTTTCAAGGTATTGTAATATTTCATTTGTAAAGAAAACAAAAAGGTAGAATGAAATCTAATCAAGATTTATATGTGTTACAACTTTTCACTCAAGAATTCTTCTACACTGTCTGTGTTCCATCTGAGGATGCTCAGTTCTTCAGCAATGTTCACATTGTCATCCAAAAGCTTCAGTACAGGGTCTGAACCATGAACATACTTGATTTGTAGTCCTCTAAATAGTTTGGGCTTATCACTCCTGACGAAAGCTTGGACTTGAGGGAACCTCCCCAATTTTCATTCACAGACCTCAAGCATAGCACTCATGTACAAATTTTTTGTTTTAAATTGTGCTTCTTCCTAACAGCATCCTCGGCAGTCAGGATCCAGCTGAAGCAGATTGAACTGTCCAAGAAGATCACAAGAGCTGCAGAGCAAGTTGCTGGAAATGCCTAATTCTCTGCATGCCTCCGATGACAGTTCTGCTCCAAAAGCAGATACTGCTTGAAACACTGTCATCAACAGCAACCGCAGGCCAATCTCCATGCCACCTTCTTCCGTAGTTCCGCGGCCTCAGCTCTGTTCGTAAGGTTTTCAATGACTAAATATTCGGAAGTAGTCTGTCTCTCCTTCTTCATCTGGAAGCTTCATCTGAAACCTGATGGGTGACCTTGCTGGTATTTAAAATACCCATGGCATAGCTTCCAGAATATTAGCAGCAGTAAGTCATTAGTGTGAAACAAACTGATAGACAAGTGGTGGTACTTGGGTACCTGTATGTAAGATGATAGCCATTAACTCTATGGGATAATTCTAATCCGAAACACATGGCGTCACCATGAGGCAGAACTGAACTCACAGCCAATGGGTTCTGTTTTGATGGGGGCTGGGTTGATGGTTCGGACTCCTGGTGTGGCGCTCTTGGTGAATGCGCTGGACTATAAAGCCCGCTTGAATGGGGAGGCCTGCAGTTCAAGCTCACCAGCTGCTCCTCGGAAACGCTATACGGGGTTGCTTTGAGTTGGAATAGACTTAATGGAACTTAACAACAATACTGTTGGGAGAAAGATGAAGTTAAGTTGTTGGGGGCCAAAAGGCTTACAAGCCTCATAAAACCTAAAGTCTTGAGTATAACCAAGACAAAGCCTGCTTGTTCAACACAGGGAAAGTAACTTTCCCAGGATCGTGTGGCTCACAGTAAAAGATAAACTTGTAACTATGCAGAACAAAGCTGACTTGCAGGAATTGCTCTATAAAAACCTCTTGCTTTCAATAAACTTGGTCACTAGCCATCAGCTTGTGTACCCTTGCCTGAATTCTTTTCTTTTGTACATAATTTTCTCATCCTCACCCTCTCCCTCGAGACCACCCACGAAAAGGTTTGAGCTGGACTTAGATCCTTATATTAAGTCCTGTAAAGATTTACAGTCTCAGAAACTGTAAGGAATGGTTCTACTCATCCTGTAGGGTCACTGTGAGACGGAATTGACTCAAGGGCAGTGAGTGGTTTTTTTAAAACGCAGTTATGATCTCATTAACATAACAAAGAAGACAGGATTACAACAGGATTCCATCCACAGGTGTGTTGTTATTGTTAGGTGCTATTGAGTCAGTTCCAGCTCATGGTGACCCTGTGTACTAGGAATACTCTGTAGAAGGAAAGACTGCTTCCTCTTGTGCTACCTTCATACTTTGTGACCATCTTTGAGCTCCCTGTTGCAGGCACTGTGAAAATCTATCTCCTTGAGGGTCTTCGTCTTTCTTGCTGGCCCTCTCTAGTTTATCAAGCATGAATGATGCCCTTCTCCAGGGGTTGATCCTTTCTGACAACATGTCCATGAAGTCTCACCATTCTGACTTCTAAGGAACGCTCTGGCTGTACTTCTTCCAAGACAGATTTTTCATTCTCTGTCAATCCATGGTACATTCATTATTCTTCGCCACCACCATAATTCAAAGGCATCAACTTTTCCTCTGTCTTCCTTATTCGTTGTCCAGCTTTTCTCTGTTCATCATGATATTGCTTATTGGTCCAGGTTTTTATTATTATTATGATGATGAATTGAGTGAAGGTTTATAATCTGCTTTTCCTACAGTTCGTTTCATCTCAATGATTGCAATTCTTTCAATGTAATAAAACTTACCCCACTTTTCCCCTTGTTTCTTGTTTTCAATCCTCCTTTCCAAACCCTTCTGAATTTTGTCCTTGGGTAAATGCTCTCCTTTTAATCTTGAGTGGTTGACCATTCTTTGGTACATGTACCTTACTGGTGTTGTTATGGATACCTCACTGGTGGTGTTGTCCCTCCAACCTGTCTATTGCTTGGCTGAACATTGAGCCATGGAAGTGAGTTCAGCTCCAGACCTGAAGGGTGACCAATGTTTCGGGGCTCCACAAGTCTGTATCTGACCAATGAAGCCTGGTCTTTATTTCTTTTATTTTGTTCTACATTTTCTCCCACTCTTTCCAGGACCTTATAATAGGATCCCTTTCAGAGAAGTTGATACTGGTAGCTGGGCACCATCTTGTTTTGGTCTCAGGGTCATGGAGACCGATGGTCACGTGGTCCATTAATCCATTGGACTAATTGCTTCAGTTTTCATTGCTTTATTTTGCACCGTACTTAGCTTTTAAGATCCCATCAAAGTAGAATGTAGAATCCCACTAGGATCTGTGTTTGTAGACTATGTTATCGGTCCAGTTTTGATGATTTTTGTTTTATGTTGAGTAGTAAGCCACACTGAAAGCTCTAACTCCTATTTGTTGTTCAGGAAAACTAGGGACATATTTAGTCTACTGGTCAGGGGGTGTTGATATCCTGACTTCAGTGGAGGGAGGGGCAGAGCAGCTGAGGATGAGGGTGGGAGGAGGACAGAGAATGCAGGACACCAATGGGCAGACCATGTAGCTTCCCTGTCATGTGGAGATGGACTCCCATCCAGGCCCAGGCAGGGGCCATTGGGAATAGGTTAATCCCTGGGGAGAGGGTGCTGGGGTTTGGGATGAACAGCCATGGATTGAAAGAAGGGGGATGGACAGTCTAGAACATTGGCCCTGAAGACCTTGTGTGTGTAGATGGTAGCAGCAGTGTTCTGTGGGACCCCCACCAGCTGACTATCTGCCTGAGGTCATCTTGGCAGCCTCAGGAATGCCACCTTCTGGTGACCGAGCATTAACTGGTGGACTGGGGAGGATTTAGGGGACTGGTCTTCCAGGGTTGGAGTCTCCTAGGGGTTCATCATGGATTGACTCTGGGACAGTGTCTTTGGAGAGAGTTGAGTAGTACATTAGTGGGCTCATTAGGTGAACATGGTCATGGGGGCATGGTCAAAGCATGTTTAGTTTGGGAGACTGGAATTGTCCTGAGATGCTCCTAGGTGTGCATGGAGCAGGGAGGTTCTCTGTGAGGCCACCAACTATGGGGCCATCCTGAGAGTGGCCAGAATGTGGCACTTTTGGTGGCTATGAATTGGTTGCAGGGAGGGTTAGACACTTGAATTGGGGGAGGCTTTAGGAGTTTGGAGAATAACAGAATTTGAGGCTGGGTTTTGGAAACCAAGGAATCCTTTTACAGGCCATTGCAGAGAGGCCTTTAAGAATAAGAACATGGATTTCTACAGTAGATGTGGGGGTTCATTCTTTGTGAGAGGGTTTTTGGGGCTGCTGTATCAGGGTGTAAGATACTTTAGAACCAGATAGGGGGAAATCAAGAATACCCTCTAAGACACATTTACTTGCTCAGAACAAAGACTGTCTTGGGGAATGGATCTTGGAGGGCATTTGGGAGAATGAAAATTGGGGGACAGACTATGGAGGTACATCTAGGGGTTGGAGCACTGTAGAAAGATTCCAGGAGAGTGGTGGACAATAGAGCAGGTTTCTTGTGTGTGTGTAAGGGCAACACAGGGTGGTCACATCATGGGAGACCTCAAGGGTGATTTGGGAGACTTAGAGCCAGGGTTATCTTGGGGGCTATATCATGAAGATAAGTTGGAGGGAGAGTCAGTATTTGGGACTATTTTGGGGCTGGAATTAGGACATCCAATATGAGGGTGCCTGAGGGGCACAGATAATTGGCGGGTGGTAGGTATCAAAGGAGCTCTGGTAGCATAGTGGTCACAAATCAGGCTACTAATCTCACAGTCATCAGTTTGAAACTACCAGCTGTTCCACAGGAGAAATATGAGGCTTTCTGCTCCCGTAAAGATTTACAGCCTCGGAAATCCTGTACAGGGTCGCTATGAGTTGGAACCGATTCCACGGCACATCACAACAACAACAACAACAACAACAATCAAAGTAGAGTTGACTGTGATGACTCGAATGGAGTGAAGCCTGTGGGAGTAAAGCCCTCAGGACCTTCACTTGTTGATGGGACACAGTTCAAAATGAAGAGAAACGGCTGTAAAAATCCATTAATAATCGGAACATGGAATATACAAAGTATGATTCTAGGAAAATTGGAAATTGTCAAAAATGAAATGGAATGCATAAACACGGATATCTTAGGCATTAGTGATATCATGTTTGCTAAGGTGGAGGGTCAGAGAAAAAGACGAAGACCCCCAGCGAGATGGATTGGCAAAGTGGCAACATCAATGGGCTCAAGCATGGCAACAATTGTGAGGTTGGCTCAGGACCAGGCAGTGTTTCGTTCTGTTGTGCATAGGATCGCTGTAAGTCGGTACCGACTGGATAGCACCTAATAACAACAAATCTTGGGGTTGAGTATGGGGGAGTTGGGTTTAGGGGGTTAGAGCAAGAATGTCTCAGGGATGGGTTATGGGGGTCGAGTTCGGAGGAAACAGATCCTGGTGTGTGTGTGTGAATGTATGTGTGAACCCAGGAGTGTGGTGTGGCCTGGAGGTAGGGTGGGGGGACAGGACGGCAGTACAAAGGAGGGGTCCTGTGGCTGAGACTTTACTGGCCACCCCACCCTCACCCTCAGTAGCACTTTCGGTACACAATGTGGGGCCCCTGTTCCTCATACTGTTCCCGGAGTACCCAGCAGGACTGGAAGGCGCGCAGTGATGCCAGGATGGAGCCGCCGATCCACACCGAGAAGTTCCGCGTGGGCTGCGCCGTCACCACCACATGGACCTTTTGGGGCACCGAGTGCAGCAGCTCGGTCCGGAAACGGCCCTCGAACCCAGGAAAGAGAGAGGAGCCCCCACACAGCAGCACGTTCTGGGCCACTTCTGCGCGCACCTCCGAGGCCACCTTGAGCAGGCTTTGCTTGGCCATGGTGGGGACGCCCACGGGCGAAAGCCCGGGGATCTCAGGAGGATTAAAAAGTAGCTCGGGGCACTGGAAGCGCTCCTTGCCCAGGGTGACCGTCCTGCCGTCGGGCAGCGTCAGCACCTGGCGACACTCTTGCTCCGGCCGCGCCTGCTCCTTGAGGAAGTCAGGCGCCACGTAACAGTAATAACGTTTGAGGTTCTCCACGATCTCCAGGTCTTGTTGGCCCAGCGCCAAGCCCGAGCTGCGCAGCACCTCCGCCAGGAAGGCAGTCAGGTGGATGCCCGCTAGGTCCAGGCGTTCGGTGGCGTGTGGCAGGTTGTAACCCTGGAAGACGGGCACCGTGTACGTGACCCCGTGGCCCGTGTCCACTACCAGCCCGCTGACGCGCCCGTGTGCGTAAACGGACAGCACCGACTGCCAGGCTACGTACATGGCAGGAGAGCCCAGCGCCTCGAACGCCACTTCCACTAGCTTCTCACGGTTGGTGACCGGGCTGAAGGGCGGGTCGGAGAAGAGCAGCGGGTGATCCCGGGGGGCCACGCCCAGGTCGTGCTCCAGCAGGTGGCGCCAGATGAGTTCGGCGGCATCCCAGTCCACCACGATGCCATTACGCATGGGTTGCACCAGCGTCAGCTCCAGGCGCCCTCGGGCCGCCTCCCCGATGAACGTCTCCAGCTCTGGTTGTCCGCCCATAGTGGTGGGCTTCTTGGGCTGGCAGCCCACGATGGTGGCCACTGTGTAAGTGGGCTGGGCCTCCCCTGCGAAGCCTACCTTACAGGTACCAGTGCCCATGTCGATGACCACTGCGCCGGTCTTGTGCGCAGGTCTGTCACCCGCCACATTTGGAGGGCCCTGCTGCACAGTGGTATCCCCCAGGATGGAGCTGGGGGCATATTGAAAAGACTGGAGACCCTGGGACTGTGAGTGATTTGTGTCCATGGCTTTAGGTGGGTGTGTGGACTGGGTCAGATGGTGGGCTTGGAGAGGCTGACTTGCCTCTGGGGGAAGAGATTGAGGCCAGGGCAAGGACTAGCCTAGGCAGCGAGGGTCAGGTGGTCTATGACATCACCCTGACCTGCCATCCTCAGACTTCACAATGCAAGCATTGGGTGGGGTCCTTCTGTGAATATTATTGTTACGACTATATGCAGAAGAGTCACTTCTAACACATTTCAAAATCATATAGGGTGTCGGAGGCTGTAAATCTTTACAGGAACTCAAAGCCTCATCTTTCTCTTGCGGACAGAATAGTGGATTTGAACTACTGACCTTGCAATTAGCAACCCAACACATAATCCACTATGCTACCTGCTATGTAAATAATATCATCCATAAAAAGAAATGAAATTCTGATACATGCTACAGACCTGGCTAAACCTGGGAAGCACAATGTCCTTGTTTGGTATCAATTCATAGTGACTTTATGCAGCAGAAAGAAACATTGTCTGGTCCTACGCCAATCTCACAATCGTGGTGACACTTGAGCCCATTGCTGCTGCCACTGTGCCAATCCATCTCATTGGAGGGCTTCCTCTTTTTTTGTTGATATTTTACACTTTACTAAGCATGATGCTTCCCTCTTAATATGTCTGAAATAAGAGAGATGAAGTCTGACTATTCTGGCTTCCAAGGAGCACTCTGGCTGTACTTCTTCCAACACAGCTTTGTTTGTTCTTTTGGTAGTCCATGGTACTTTCAATATTCTCCTCCAACATCATAACTCAAATGCATCAATTTTTCTATGGTCTTCCTTATTCACTGTCCAACTTTCACATGCATATAAGATTATTGAAAATACCGTGGTTTGGGTCAGGCGCACCTTAGTCCTCAAACTGACATCTTTGCTCTTCAACAATTTAAAGAGGTCTTGTACAGCAGGTTTGCCTAATGTAATATGACTTTTGATTTCTTGACTGCTGCTTCCATGAGTGTTGATAATTGATCTGAGCAAAATGAAGTCTTTGACAACTTCAATCTTTTCTCCGTTGGAATGGGTATTGTTTCTTGATCCAGTGGTGAGGATTTTTGTTGTCTTTACATTGAGGTACAAGCCATAATGAAAGCTGTCGTCTTGGATCTTCATCAGTAAGTATTTCAAGTTCTCTTAACTTTCAGCAAGCAAGATTGTATCATCTGCATGTCACAAGTTGCTAATGAGTCTTCCTCCAATTCTGATGCCATGTTTTCCTTCATATAATTTAGTTTCTCAGATTGTTTGCTCAGCATGCAGATTGAATGAATATGGTGAAAAAGACAAGCCTGGCACACTCCTTTCCTGACGTTAAACCATTCACTGTCCCCTTGTTCTGTTTGAACTACTGCTTCTTGGTCTATGTACAGGTTCTTCATGAGCACAATTAAGTGTCATGATCCACACAGTTGAAACATTTACATAGTCAATAAAGCACAGGTAAACATCTTTTTGGTATTCACCTTTGTCAGTCAAGATCCACCTGATGTCAGCAATGATATCCCTCCTTCTGTGTCCCTGTCTGAATCTGGCTTGAACCTCTGGCAGCTCCCTGTCCATATACTGCTGCAAAAAAAAAAAAAATACTGCTGCAGCCGTTTTTGAATTATCTTTAGCAAAATTTTGCTTGCACGTGATATTAATCACATTGTCCGATGATTTCCTCATTCCATTGGGTAACCTGTCTCTGGAATGGACACAAATATGGATCTCTTCCAATCAGTTGGTCAGGTAGCTGTCTTCCAAATTTCTTGGCATAGATGAACTGCATCAGTTTACTGAAAAATTTCAGTTTGTATTCCATCAATTCCTGGAGCCTTGTTCTTTGCCAATGCCTTCAGCACACCTTGGAAGTCTTCCTTTAGTATCGTTGGTTCTTGAAATGGTTTAACATTGACCGTTTCTTTTTGGTACCGTGAATCTGTGCATTCCTCCCATCTTTCTTTGATGCTTTCTGCATCATTCAATAGTTTCCCCATAGAATCCTTAAATATTACAAGTCAAGTCTTGAATTTTGTTTTCCAGTTCCCTCAGTTTGAGAAATGCTGAGCGTGTCCTTCCATTACGGTTTTCTAACTCCAGGTTTTTGCACATTTCATTATACTATTTGACTTGGTCTTATTGAGTTACCCTTTAAATTTTTCTGTTCAGCTCTTTTACCTCCTCATTTCTTCCATTTGCTCTAGCATCTCTATTCCAGAGAATAAGTTTCAGTGTCTCTTCTCACATCCATTTTGGTCTTTTCCTTCTTTCTTGTCTTCTTAATGACCTTTTGCTTTCTTCCTGTATTACTTACGTTCTTGATATCATCAGCTCTTCTGCTCTCTGATCTTTAGTGTCTAATATATCATATCTAATGATGATCTCCAAATTCAGTTGGGAGAAGTCCAATGTCATGTTTTGGCTCTTGTAGACTTGTTTTAATTTTCTTCGGCTTCTGCCTGAACTTGTGTATGAACAATTGATGGCCTGTTATACAAACTGTTCCTGGCCTTATTTTGGCTGATTCCACAGTCTCTTTCCACAGATGTAGCCAATTGTATTTCTGTCTATTTCATCTGGTGAGTTCCATGTGCCTTTTATGTTATTTCAACAAGGTATTTGCAGTGGAAGAAGTCATTGTTCTTGCAGAATTCTATCATGCAATCTCCTGCATCATTTCTATCACCATATTTTTCTACTACTGACCCTTCCTATTTCTTTCCAACCTTTGCATTCCAATAGCCAGTAATTATCCATACATCTTGATTGTATGTTTGATCAATTTCAGATTGGAAAAGTTGGTAGAATTCTTCAATTTTATCCTCACTGGCTTTAGTGGTTGGTGTAAAAACTTGAGTAATAGTTGTATTAACTGGTCTACCTTGTGTTGTGTTGTTAAGTGTCGTTGAGTCAGTTCTGACTCGTAGCGACCTTATACAGGGTTTGTGAGGAGCGGCTGGTGAGTGTGCACCTCCAACCATGAGGTTCAAACTGACCTTATGATCAAGTACTTATCCTACAGTGCCACACCAGGTATGGATATTATTGTATCACAGTCAGCATTGTATTTCAAGATAGATCTTCTTTTTGGTGATGAATGCAATGTCATTGTTTTTCAATTCCCGTCATAGTGAACCATGTGATTATCAGATTGGAAATGGTCAATACCAGTCCATTTCTGCTCATTAATGCCTAGGATATTGCTGCATATGCATTCCGTTTTATTTTTGACAACTTCCAATTTACCTAGCTTCATACTTTGTGCTTTCCATGTTCTGGTTATTAATGGATGCTTACAGCTGTTTATCCTCCTTTTGAGCTGTGCCCCATCAGCAAATGAAAGCCCTGAAGTTTAGCTCAGGTGGGATGGTTCCATAAAGAACTGGACAGACCTGCTCTTCAGTCTCGGTGATATGTTGTGTAAATGAGTAATGTCTCCTTTCACTGGACCTTGATCAGCACAGCCACAGCCACAGCCACAGCCACAGAGATGCACTTTCAAAGGCAAGGATATTTCTGATGCGTTTAGGTTACAACCAGTTAAGAGAGTAATGCTGTGGTTCTTAGTTCCTGTTGGGTTGGCTACAGCTCATGTTTTGCAAAAGGAAATATTGTCAGCTTCATGATTACTGGTATGTCTGGGTCGGTGGTTAGAGCCACTGTGTATTTTGAGTCTTCCAACCTAGGGACTCACCTTCTAACACCATACTGAACAGCATTCTGATGGAACCCATCGAGTTTTCAATGGCTTATTATTATTAAAGCTTTTATTGTGTATTGAGTGAGATCACCAGTTTTACATTCAGCAAATCATTGTAATGATTATAATCCCTCCCATCTACCCTTAGCCAACAGGATTTATCTCTATTTTTTTTTTTTTTTTTATGTATACATACCACATTGAAAATATATATTCGTTTAAATTTCCATAGACCATGTTTTGCAAGCCAGCCTCCTGCCCACAAGCACACTGCTTTTTTCAGTTCATGGGCCTGCAGTCCTCTGCTGCTCTGTCTCTCTATGCCAACACCTCAGCCACCATTTTTGTTGTGGTCACTTAATTAAGATTCCTCATTCCTTTCGTGTTCTTCCCTCTTAGACGGTCTTAGAGTCCTCTGTTTCTGAAATGACAGATTAACTGCTTCCTCCCTTTTAGTTGCACCTCTTCTACATTTACAGTTGTGACCATCACCATTAGACCTGAAAACAATTACTTGCAAGTGAATCATAAAATCCGATTCCCCTCATCACCAGACCCCATCTAGACAAGAGGAAAACTATTCAGTAGGGTTGCTGTCTTATTCCCCTCATTCTGAGCACCCTCATGAATGCTTGTAAGCCAGCCACTTCATGCCTTTATAGCCCCTCAATTTTGATAGCCAAGTCTAAGTTGCCCACCCCAATCTACCCAGTGTACTGAGGAGACATGCTTGATCTTTGATATGAAGAATCCTTCCCTATTTGGTTTCAATCTTGGGCAGCTTCAATGGCTTATTTTTGAAAGTAGATCTCCAGGCCTTTCTTCCTAGTCTCTCTTAGTTTGGACACTCCACTAAAAACTGCTCAGCATGCTGATATATGAAATACTGATGGCACAGAATCACAGAAATACGCAAGCCACCACCATACAACAAACTGACACATTGTTGTTGTTAGGTGCTGTCAAGTCTCTTTTTAATTCACAGTGACCCTATGTGACAAAGTAGAACTGCCCCATATACATACACAGAACCTCAAGTGTACCCACACTCACTTTAAGCAGTAATAACACAACAGACACAATGGAAGCCCTCTGTGGATTTACCTCCCCTTCCTGCCCCAAGAGATCGTGCTTCTGAATTTGAATTTGTTTTCACACCGGGGAGATCCGGGCTGTTTGGGGACACCATGCCCCTTCTGCTACTGCTATGTGCCATTGAGTCGGGTCTAACTCATAGTGACCCTGCATAGTGTTTTTGAGGCTGTAAATCGTTACAGAAACAGCCTC